GTAAACCCCACATCAGCATACCAGGGGGAGATCCTGAACCCCAGGGTGGTAGAGCAGGCAAGCATCAACAATAGAACTCCTTAGTGCTTCAGCACAGGCAGGGCACCGGTGAAAACCAGCTCAGAAAATCACCATGTGCTACGGCATTCTGTGGCAGCCAAGTCTTCCAGGGCCTCAACAAAACTCTGGGAAGCACAACTCCAAGAGGGAAAACTCCAGGTGGAGAAACATACTGCAGCAGCAAAACAGCCAAAGAAAGGAGCAAAAGGCTGGGATGAGCAGGAGCCAAAGAAAGGAATGCAAGACCTGGGTGAGCAGGTGTCACCCAGGGGCCAGATTCCATACCCCTAGCCCTAGAGCTCCAGTGTTGCTGATTCTAGCCCAACACCAGGTAAGCTGCCAGAACGCTACAGGCTCCAACTGCCAGTACCTGAGGCCCCAGCACACAAAGCCAGTGACCTGGTCCCCCAGCACAAGAAGCTTGAGTCAGTGCTCTCTTTTCTCCCGCAGGAGAGCTCAATATTTTTAGAGAGTCAGGAAACAAGCAAACACCATAAGCAAAAAGAAATGTACAATGACCATACATTCTTATTAGGGGGACAGGGAAGATCAAGGCAGAAATTCAGAAGAGGACAAAATTGTCAATAAACTCACATCTAAAACCTCAAAATGAAATATGAACTGGTCTCAAGCCCTAAAAGCCTTCTTAGAAGAGCTCAAGAAGGATTTTAAAAGTCAAATAAGAGAAGTAGAATAAAAATGGGGAAAAGAAATAAGAAGTATGCAAGAGAGAGTCAATAGGTTGGAGGAGGAAGGACAAAAGTTAACTGTAGAAAACAAATTCTTAAAAAATACAGTTTGCCAAATGGGGAAAAAAAAGTACAGTGAAGAAAACAACTCCTTGGCTAAATGGAAAAGGAGGCACAAAAATTCACTGAGGAGAACTCCTTAAAAATAAAATGGGTCAAATGGAAAAGAAGGTACAAAATCTAATAGAAGAAAACAATTAATTAAAAACTAGAATTGGGCAAGTGGAAGCTAATGACTCTGTGAGAGTTAGAATCAGTCAAACAGAAATAGAAGAATCAAAAAATAGATGAAAACGTAAAATACTTTATTGGTAAAACAACTGACCTGGAAAATCAGTCAAGGAGAGACAATTTAAAAATTATTGGTCTACCTGAAAACCACGATGAAAAAAAGAGCCTTGACAGCATTTTTCAGGAAATAATCAAGGAAAACTACCCTGAGATCCTAGAACCAAAGGGTAAAATAGCCATACAAAGAATCCAACGATCACCTCCTGAAAGAAATCCCAAGTAGAAAACACCAAGGAATATAGTAGCCAAATTCCAAAATTACTAGGTCAAAGAGAAAATATTGCAAGCATCCAGAAAGAAACAGTTTAAATATTATGGAACCACAGTCCAGATTATGCTGGCCTTGCAGCTTCTATGTTAAAAGATCAGAGGGCATGGAATACATATTCCATGAGACAAAGAAGCTTGGATTACAACCAAGGATGAATGACCCAGCGAAAATGAGCATAATCTTTCAGGAAAGGGGACGGACATTCAACAAAATAGGAGACTTCCAAACCTTACTGATCAAAACACCAAAGCTCAACAGAAAATTTGATCTTCAGAGACAAGACTCAAGAGAAATGTTAAAAAGATAAACATGACAGAAGAAAACAAAAAACAGCACCGTGTTATCCATGTTATTGATAATGGCAAACTGTTTACATTCCTACAAGGGAAGATGACACTTGTAACTCTTGAGAACTGTATTGTTATTACACCATGTAAAAGTGGTATACATAGACAGAAGGGGTTGGTAGAAGTTGATTCTGATGTAATGATAAAAAAAACTAATTAAGTGGGTTAAATGGATCTAACTGGATTAAGTGGATCTTATTAAGGGATTGCACTGGGAGAAAAGGAAATGAGGAGGCAGACAAGGATAAAAGACAAGGGTAAAAATTACAGGAAAAGGCATAAAAATCCATTGTGTTAGAGAGAAAAAAGGGAGGATATGAGCACTGTGTGAACCTTACTCTCATAAGATTTGGCTCAAGGAGGGAATAACAATCAGTTAGGTATAGAAATCTAACTTGCCCTATAAGCACTAGGAAAGAAAAGGGGAAAGAAAAAAGAGGGGTGATAGAAGGGAGGGAAGAAATATTAAGGCTAAAGAGGAAGAAAAAGGAGAGGACTAACAGAAGAGAGGGCAGACTGAGGGAGACAGTGGTCAAAAGAAAAACTCTAGTGAGGAGGGAAAGGGATAAAGGAGAAAGAAGAGCATATATGGGGGGGAGGTGGAGGGAATTGGAATGCAGAGAAAGATACAGATAGTAATTATAACTGTGAATGTGAATGGGATGAAATCTCCCAAAAAACTGAAGCAGATAGCAGAATGGATTAGAAACCATAATCCTACAATATATTGTTTACAAGAAACACATTTGAAACAGAGGGATATACACAGGATAAAGATAAATGGCTGGAGTAGAATATATTACGCTTCAGCTGAACTAAAAAAAAAAAGCAAAAGTAGCAATGCTGACCTCAGACAAAGCAAAAGCACAAATAGATCTTATTAAAAGAAATAAGGAAAGAAACTACATCCTGCTAAAAGGCACCGTAGACAATGAAGTAATGTCATTACTAAACATATATGCACCAAGGGTTTAGCATCCTATTCTCCATTGCCTGTATATCTTATTTCCAAGTTGTATGTGAAAACAACTTTCAAATTTGTTTTTAAAACTTTGGGTTCCAGATTTTCCCCCTTCTTCCCTCCTCACCCATCCTCATTGAGAAGGCTAGCAACTGGATACTGGTTATACATGTGTAGTCATGTAAAACACTTCCATTGTAGTCACGCTGTGAAAAACTAACTATATTTTGCTTCATCCTATCCAGCTCCCCATTTCTTCTATTCTCTCTTTTGACCCTGTCCCTCCTCAGAAGTGTTTGCTTCTGATTACCCTTCCCCCAATCTGCCCTCCCCTCTATCATCCCCCTGCTCTCTTATCCCCTTCCCTCCTATTTTCCTGTAGGGTAAGATAGATTTCCATACCCAATTGAGTGTGTATGTTATTCCCTCCTTAAGCCAAATCCAATGAGAATAAGATTCATTCATTCTCTCACCTTCCCTGTTTCCCCTCCACTGTAAAAGCCTTTTCTTGTCTGTTTTATGTGAGATAATTTACCCCATTCTACCTCTTCCTTTCTCCTTTTCCCAGTATGATCATATCTCACCCCTTAATTTTATTCTCCAGATATCACCCCTTCATCATCAACTCAACCTGTGCCATCTCTCTCTCTCTCTCTCTCTCTCTCTCTCTCTCTCTCTCTCTCTCTCTCTCTCTCTCTCTATATATATATATATATATATATATATATATATGTATATATATATATATACATATATATATACACATACATATATATACACATCTATATCTAAATTTTTTTTCCCCTCCAACTACCCTAATACTGACAAAGATCTCATGAGTTACAAATATCATCTTTCCATGTAGGAATGTAAGCAGTTCAACCTTAGGAAGTCCCTTATGATTTCTCTTTCCTGTTTACCTCTTCATGCTTCTCTTGAGTCTGTGGTGCATACAGTGACTTGCCTAAGGTCACATGGCTAGTGTCTGAGGCCAGATTTGAAATCAGGAAGTGGGGTCTTCCTGAGTGCAGGCTTGTCACTTTGTCCACTGTGCCACCTAACTCTTAAACTGAAGGATCATTCTCTAAACCGCTGTATCTGTCAAATAAAACTCTTGCAGAGCAGGAAGGTTTCTTCTCTATGGGTCTTCATGGTCCATTTGAGTTATATTTATTTTTTTTGTAGGCAATTGGGGTTAAGTGACTTGCCCAAGGCCACACAGCTAGTAAGTGTCAAGTGTTTGGTCTGAGTCCAGATTTGAACTGAGGTCCTCCTGACTTCAGGGCTGGTACTCTATCTACTGTACCACCCAGCTGCCCCCCTGAGTTTTATTTTTTGAAGGAGAGAATGTGCCGCTCTTCTTTTCTGGAAAGCAATTTTCCTGTTTTTAAAATGCAGTAAAATTGTGTGTATATTTGTGTGTAGGCCTTAAACGCTAGTAAAAAATAGAATAACAATTGAGCACAGGAATGCCTTTGTGGACAAATAGGTATAGGTATAAGATGAAAACACAGTTAAAATGTCTAAAGCTGGAGTAAGCATTTGTTTTAAAGATACTTTATCAGAATTTTATATGTAGTTCAAGATGGGATCTCAAAGATTATCTAATGCAACTTTCTCATTTTATAGATGAGAAAACTTTGCTCCAGAGAAGTTAATGACTTGCCCAAGGTCACACAGGTAGTATCAGAGGTAGGGTTTGAACTTGTTTCCTCTGATACTATAGCAATTGCTGTTTCTAGTGTGCATCCTGTCTCTCAATCAGAGATGTTAGGAAAAGTATATGTGGGTGGATCAAGCCAGAACGTGTTATGCCAGATTTTTTTAAAACAATTTATTAATAAAATTAGTTTTTGTTCATTCAGGCCTACCCTAAATTGAAGACAGGGCCTTATGTGCTACATGTGTTTTTTTGTTGTTCAGTTGTTTTTTAGTTATGTCTGACTCCTTGTCACCCCATTCATGGTTTTCTTGGCAAAGATACTGGAGTGGTTTGCCATTTCCTTCTCCAGCTGATTTTTCAGATGAGGCAGCTGGGGAAAACAGAGTTAAGTCAGTTGTCTAGAGTCACACAGCTAGTGTCTGAGGCCAGATTTGAACTCAGGAACGTGAGTCTTCCTGACTTCAGACCTGACACTCTATCCACTGTACCACCTAGCTGCATTATGTTTAGCTGGAAGTATGTCTTTGTACTCCCCATACTTGTCACGAATTTTGTAAAAGCTAAGCATGGATCGTGGAAGGGAACCAAAGCTTTTTTTTTTTTCCTTCTGGATATGATCTATTGAGAGAAACTCTCTGTGTTTGTCAATGATTTGTAGGTCAAGAGTACAACTTCCTGAAGATGGAGCCTGGAGAAGTGAACTCCCTTGGGGAATCATATGATTTTGACAGTATTATGCACTATGCGAGGAACACCTTCTCAAGGTTGGAGTCTCAGGTTATAACTTTTGAATTTTAATTCTCTTCCCCTGTGTGATTGCTTCAGAACCTTTGTTGTGATGTTAGGAAATAAAAGAACATCCTTCAAATGCTACTGCCTTGTAGGAGAAATAAATTAGAAAAAATATTTTTATTAATACTGTATAATTATATGAAATTTTCCAGGTTTTACTTTACAGCATATTTTAAGATTTCATTTTTAATGGGATTAACTTCAATATTATCTTTTTGCTGAATTTCATTCAGTTAAAAATATTTTACTTTGATTTATTATTATGGCAGATTTAATTGTGTGAACTTTAATAAATCAAGGAATAAATTTAAAAACTTTCCAAGTCAGCATTAGAATAAAATAAAAATACACCAGTTAAGGTGGATCTATGGGTACTGCATTTGAAATGTTCGTTCTTTTCTTTAGACTGATTTGTGTTTTGTATTCTTTGTTGTTTTCTGTTGCTTACGTTTTCTATACCACATTACAATATTGATACATTTGCAATAATAATACAGTGAGACAATAGGAAAATGAAGAAAGCTCTCATTCCAAATCTTATGAAATTATATGTCTATTTTGATCAAGAGGCAGTGGATAGCTAGCCTTAGAATCAAGAAAACTTGGATTCAAATCCTGCTTCTGACATACGGTGTTACTCTGGGTGAATACTTAACCTCTTACTATACCAGTCATCTCTCTAAGATCGTACATTGCAAAATAGTTGAAGATGTACATTGGTAACAGGATTTCTTCAACATGATAATAGTGATAAAATTCACTAAAGTGATAAAATTATAAGTGTAAATCCTCAAAACAAAATAAAAAAACCCAAACTAAGCATTTTTTACAGTTAAATTATTGACTTCTTCATTAAGGATCATAGGTTCATAATTTACATCTAGATGAAACCTTAGAAACCATCTAGTTCAACTCTTTTTATACCTGGGGAAGCTGAGGCCCAGAAATGTTAAGTGATTTGCCCCAAATCAGAGAGGTAGTAAGTCATAGACATGACATCTGAACTCAAGCCCTCTGATTATAAATCCAACTCTCTTTCTACTATTGCAGCAAAGAACTGGCATTGGTTTTCTAGACCATGTTTAACTTTTTTCAGTTTTTCAAACTTCAGATTAAAGAACTCACAACTAAATATTAAAGATTGGTTTCCCATGTGTTTTTCTATGTCTCGAGTTTGCTTGTATTCTGTCTGGCCACATTTTTTACATCTATTCATTAATATCTCCACCAAAGGGAGGGGGTAGGGAGAGCAAGTGTTACTCATATTAATCAATTATTGATTAATTATTAATCAAAATATTAATCAATTTTTTCTTTTTCTGTGTCCTAGTGAAAGGTTTAATGGAGGAGTTTTGGAGACTATAATTTTACAAATGGTGATTGGGTTCCCAGGCTAGTCAGGAAAGGCTTTTTTTGTGACTGGTATTCAAGACTTTGTGAGAATCTTTCTTCCGAGTTAGCTCAGCCACAATGAAGCCAACTTCATCATTTAATTTCAGATGTTTTGCTTCATCAGAAATTTACAAAATGATAGCATTCTCAAATTCATCTTTCATTTTTAGGCTGAGTTGTCAGAAAAATTTTTTGAGATTGTCATTTCAAATTTTTGTATATAAAATGAGAAGTGAAAAGGATGTTTTTCAGTAGCTTACAGACATAGTAAGATCCCATTAATCCCAACCTCAGTAACAGAGAATCTGTGATTATTGATTTAGCTTCCTGGTTAGTACAGTGGGGCTTATTACAAAACTGTAGTACATTTCAACTCCTTTTTTAATTTTTTCAACACAGCTTGAGCTATGATACTTGAAATATATACACATTGACACAATAACCTTTCTCTGTTTTCTCTACATATACCCCATTTACTTCAAATTAACCTGCACTGAGACTTCCTTGAGCTTCCCTGGGGTTCTCATGCCTGTTTGAAATACCAAGACAAAAGGCATGATTTACACAATGTGAGAATATGTACTATTACAGAAGATTTTTTTCCATTTGTTTTAAATTTCAAAAGGAAATTTAAGTACCACCATTGAATTTATAAGAAATAGAAATGTCAAGAGCTATTTTACATTAACCCACAAAAAACACCTTTTTTCTTTCTTTCTTTCCTTTAAATACACACCATTGTTAGTAATTTTGTCCAATCCTGGGATCTTCTCTCTTCAGTTCACCAAGTGTTGTAAAACATGTTATTTGTAAAGACTTAAAGACAGAGATAAGTAACTTATTTTGATGACTAAAAACTGACAGAATTGTATGGCTCTTTTCTGATTTTTTTTTTCAGGGGGATGTTTCTAGATACCATTCTTCCTTCCCGTGATGACAATGGTATACGTCCTACAATTGGCCAACGTACACGCTTGAGTAAAGGAGATATTGCACAGGCAAGAAAGCTGTATAGATGTCCAGGTATTATACCATATAAACAAACCAGCAAGACTGTGCTTGCCTGTGATAATCCACAGTAATAGAGCAAATCAATTACTACTCACTTTCCAAGTTGGAAAATGACACACAGTTCAAAGTCTATAACCATAAAATAAGGGTGGAGAGAATTCTAGAACACATATAACTTGAAATAGAAGCCAAAGGTTAAAAATCAAATTTCAGATACAGCTAAGTTTGAGCTTCGCTTTATTTAGAGAGGAAGAATATCAGCATGCTCTTTTTATTCCTTCTTTTTCTTATAAAATTATATATCACATAATTGCATATTGTAAACCTTGAGCAATACTGATTTACAAGGCATTTTATACACACCTCCAAAAAAAGAAAGATCTTTGTTGATTTGACATAATGCTTTTATGACCTGTATAAGATTATTGTGAATGGGCTACATGTGATACATGTATCACATCATGCAAGAGGAAGACTATGTCTCTGTTCAGAAAACAAAACAAAACAAAACAAAACATCATATTTCCTTGTTTTTAGGCTTTGGTCCATTTTGCTGCTAATGGACATTCTGAAAGACTGAAAATGCATCTCAAATAGCAATAAATAAGGATATAAATAGGGATTTGGTTATGGCAAGCATACTCCTAATAATAAAAATAATATGAATATAGATTTGAAATAAAACAAGAGGTCAATAACTGTTAAAATTTTATGTGGTCAGTAACTCTGATAATTGTTTTATATCTAAGACATAGCTCCAAAATACCCATACCCTCAGTATGTTTACATTGGCTTCTAGAGTTGCTCAAAGAAACTTTCTCAGTTATGTTACCTTAAACGACACTTTTAATTTTTAGTATTTTCTTTCATTGCATGAATCTTGAAGAACAAATTTTCATTCAGTTTCTAAAATGGAGTAAATGGTATGGTGATCAGGACATTAGAATGTGGTTCTTTTTTTTAATGTTCTCTTTGCTAGCCTGTCGTATTGCAAAGGAGTAATCAGCAAATAATTGATTGTCTTTCACAGAAAAAAAATATGATAAATTGGCTGACATGTGGCCTGAATACTATGCTTAGTAGGTTAAGTTTAGCCAACATAATATATATTATATATGAGGGAATTAAGTCACAAAAGGACCTCATGCTGCTATGTTTGGGACATCATGGAAATTACTGTAATTTAATCCGTTTGTAGAAAGGGCTACAAAATTAAGAAAAAAATGGCTCTTTTCATTGTTACATCAATTCTTGTTTATAAATCAGAATGTTTTTAGATAGCCTATTGCCTTGATGGACTCAGATATGCACTTTAGTACTATTGACAAATAGACTAATAACACAAAGAAATTCTATATTACAGGAATAAAAATGCATCTGTTTAAGAATCCTTTTGTTCTTAAAACTCTATTAAGTATAAAAAATAAGGATTGATTTTTTTTGCCTAATTACAATCAGTAATTGTTCAATTTAGCCTTCTTTTTTGAATGAATGAAATATAATTTAAAATCATATGATAATGTAATGTACCTATATACTTTTTATTAGTCTAGTCACTCATAGTTTAATTCAACTTACTGAGAACAATATAGTCGAAATGAGTCAAGTAAGGCCTTAGATGAGGTACAGAGATAGTTTAACTGTGCAGCATCTCTTGGAATCTTTGGTGATTTCATGCCTGAATGGACTCAAATTGCAGAGCACTTTTGGAAAAAAACTGCATGAGTAATTGTAATTAAGAAAATGAAAACTGATTTTTATCTATTGAAGGACCTATTTTATGCAATGAAAGGGGGCACATTTACACACTGATTTGACAGACAGGTATTAAACTCAGCAGGAGTCAATTATGGCACCATACCCAGACCTATGGCACTGGAATTTATTTTTCAGTGTGCAAAGCCCTGAAAGAGATAAGAGTCATGACTTGGTACGTAACTACTTTGTGTTTTTTTTCCAACTTTAGTTTACAACTGATATATTTTTGTGAAATAAAGAAAGGGAATATTTGTCTTAAATATCAAGGGATGACAATACGGTAAAATATTACTAATTGAAACCCACTCATTGGAGTGGTTGTAATTCAGGAGGGAGTTTGGTCACTTTTATGATTGTGACATCTGTAGAAATTGTTAAGAATTAATATTGCAAAAAAGATTATGGCAAAATTGGGTTGCCATTTCAGTGACAGTTAAAAAAATCATTTAACAAGTATTTAAGGGCTTATTCTGTGCAAGTGAAACAAATAATTTAGAAAATATGATTTTAATACAAGTAATGATACTTGAATTTAAGTTATTTTGTATCCTTTATGAAGGATATAGATGTTACAGATATTAAGCCTATTTCAAAAAGGTGATTAGTTGTTTTTTCTCACATATGTACGTGAAATATTTACATATATGTATATACCACATATACGCATGTGTGTTTGTGTATTATGTACTTGTTTGTATATATGTGAGTATATATATGTATATGTGTGTCTATGAATGTATACATGTATGTATGTGTGTGCACATGCATATATGTATGTGTATACATGTACATATGTATATGTATATATGTGTGTGTGTGTGTGTGTGTGTGTGTGTGTATAAAAAATGCAGTCCTGTAAAATACTCTGATTCAGGGTTTTCACCAATTCATACTGGATTTCCTTTTAATTATTTTAACTTATTGCAAATAATCATTTTTGTAAATAACTCTTTTTGCCTCTGCATCCTCATTTTTGCTTTACAAATATGGATTTTCAAAAAAGGTTGTATGTATATCTTAATGTCTATATTCTTTTGAAATAACAGATTAATTAAAAATAATAGTTTATTTTGATTGGTGCAGTGGAGAAACAACAATATAGTGTACCTGTAGAAAACACATTGCATTCTATGGTAATAGGTCTTCCTTTATATTTATTAGGGAATGGCTAAGACTCTTCGTTTCTGGCATGACTTTTTAAAGTTTCCTTTTTCAGTTAGAAGATTATTATCAAAACAGGTTAGAATAGAATTATGTTTAATTTCTCAATAAATATTTATTAGAAGCAGCTCAGTAGGGGCCAGCTAGGTGGTACAGTGGATAGAGCCCTGGCTCTGAAGTCTGGAGGACTTGAGTTCAAATCTGGACTCACTCCAAATGCTTAACACTTACTAGCTGTGTGACCCTGGGCAAGTCACTTAACCCCAATTGCCTTTAAAAAAAAAAGCAGCTTGCTAGTATTATGGCTAGAAAAATGGACTTAGAGTGAAGAAGACTAAGGTTTAAATTTTGCTACCACTATGCAGTAACTGTTAGACCCCGGGTAAGTCACATGTCTTCTCTCATCTTCAGCTTCCTTTTCTGTAAAATGATTATAATAATAATAATAATAATACTAATACCTACCTCACAGGATTGTTTTGAGGTTCAAATGAAATAAACTATGAAGTGCTTTGCAAATGTTGAAGTATTTTATGAATGCAGCTTTATTATAACATTATAATACTATTATAAAATAATAAAGAATAGTATTATAACATTCTAATACTATTATAATATAATAAAGAATAGTATTATAATTGACCTCTGTGAGTGCTCTTGAGGGCACTTAGGTAGCACAGTGGATAGAGTACTGGGCCTGGAGTCAGTAAGACTTTAGTCCAAACTTGGCCTCAGCCACTTACTGGCTGTGTGACCCTGGATAAGTGATTTGACCCTGTTTGCCTCATTTCCTCATTTGTAAAATGAACTGTAGTAAGAAATGGCAAACCATTCCAGTATCTTTGCCAAGAAAACCCTAAATGGGATCATGAAGAGTCAGACACAACTGAAATGACTGAACAGCAACAACAAAAAAAGAGTGCTATTATTATTATTCTTAAATAATTTTGTATGTTTTAGGGGAATTTCTACTCATTTTCTTTAGTGATGATATAAAGCACAGATTATTTAGAAACCAGAGACTCATGATATTTTTTGTTTCAGGCAATCATTGTGATAGTCTATTCAGATTGGTCAGAATATGTCCATTTAATATCTATCTAGAAAGATACTTTAGGTCTCTAAAGGTTTATAACAGTCACATTTAATCCTTTTAATAGTTTGGGAATAAATATGAAGGCTCTAGATGCCTGCCAAGTGAATGCACAGGGGGTCTGTGTCCTTTTAATCTTTTGCTCTCTTGATAAAAGTATATGGTCATTTTTCCTGAAAACAGATGATAAACTACTTTTCTATTTTGGGACATCAACTCAGTTGAAAAAAAAATACATCATAGGCTACAATAAATGAAAGGTGGCAACCATGGCCAGGTGTAAGATTAGAAAAGTAGTTGTCATATATTATCCTATTATGCAGTCTACCAGTTACTCAACTGCACGAAGAATGAAGGTAAAAGACTGAATGTACTTTGTGTTAACTTAAGTAAACTTTAACGTGTACTGATGTAATTCTCCAGTTTTAGAAACGTTTACAATTGCACTCTGACATTTATCATGCACGTACTATTTATGGAGACCTTTGCTAGGTGCTAAAGAAAGACAAATATTGGTAAGACATAGTTTTTGCTTCCATGAAACGTATAAGCTGGTGGATGGAATAACATACAGAAATAACTATAGGAATATCTCTCATGCCAAGTAGAACGATGGAAACATGCAGGAAGAGATTAAGTAAAATACCCTTCCATATTCAAGGAAGGAAAGATCATATCCCATTGGATGCTGTCTCATGAAATTTTAGTTGAATCTTGACCAGCTTCAATGGCAGAAATAGCTGTGGGCCATGACTAGTAAAGCAGGGGACCAGAGTTACAGCTGTAGCTGTAGGTTTCTCTACTTAATCCTGTGCAGATCAATGGGGAAGTGTGAAAGAAATATCTGAGAATATATAAGTCAAGATATCTGCCTGTCTGAGAATTGCATAGCTGGATGAATGATAATATCATTCATCAGGTTTATTTTGTTGTTGTTGTTGTTTAGGTATAGTCTGTGAGTGAAGCATTATGTAAGAAAATAAAAGTAATTCCCTTAGAC